GTTCGTGAGGAGACAGCGCTGGGAGCCCGGCACCGGTGTCGCGGGAGCAGAGGTGACATGCTGTCAGGTGGTTCAGCTCTGCTCCTGCGGCAAAGGCCCTGCCTGTTCCAACCTTGCATGTGCCGTGCGCTAGCCTCTAGTAGCCCCTTGCCTGCCTGTCCTGGGGTGTGAGCAGAGCCCAGGCAAGGGCAGAGGGTTTCCCCATGAACGGCTCTGACAGGAGGGCAGGGTGGGAGGTTTGGAGCCTCTCCTGGAATCGACTCTCTCTGGGTGAGCTGGACTTACCCTTCTGGGTGGATCCGTGGAGGCCAAGTCCTAGACCTTGTTTATTTTCTGGGTGGAGTGTGACTTGTCCGTGAAGATGGGTGGACGGCTGCTAGTGGACTAGAGACCGGGGTGAGCTCTGTGTGGAGCTCCAGCATGGTACGGAGCTTCCAGAGACACCTCGGGGATCCCACTGCCTCTCATACCTCCAACACCCCCGGCAGACGTTAGCCTGAACCGCGAGTTGGTAGAACGGCACGCTCCTGCATGCTGTGCATGACAGCAACCCTTCACTGCCCCGCTCCGAATGCGTCGCTGGAGCGGACTGGCTGCTTTTGAACCAGCTCATCCTGCACTGTGAATCCCTCAGACAAGCTGACTGCAGTCAGCTGCCAGCATGCAAGGCTCTGCTCCTCTCGCTTTGGTCTATCCTGGTTGGACAGATCAAGGTATGTCACTAAACTTCGATGTTCTCCACCTCTTGGAGAAGCACAAGACTGGAAATGACCTTCCGGGTCATTCTGGTCCTGGCTTTATGGGAAATGACATCCTGCAGCTGCTCCGAGCTAGCAGGGAGAGGGAACGGGTCACATCCCAGGCAGTGCCAAGCGGAGCTGGCTCTGCCTGTCACAAGTTTCAGATAGCTCTGCTGCCGTCGAGGTCTCGGCTCACTGGAGCAGGAGTCTCTTGGTGCCCGGCAAGGCATTGCGCTGGCGTGTGCTGCTGCGTGCCTCCTTCGCCTTTAAATAATCCCTTTCATACAGAGGAGGCAAGAAAATAGATGTAGCTTAAAATAGACAAATCTGATTAAAAGACAGTCAAAGCATTCCTTTGTTCTGGCCTGGCAGGACTGGTAACGCCTCTGCCAGAGCAGAGAGGAAGGGCCGCTGCAGCTCCTCTGGCTTGCCCTGCTGAGAAGGTTGGGTCTCCCCGGGGGCGACCCCGCTCCCAGACACCAGCGACGCGGCCTCTGCTCTGCATCAGCCTGTCTGGATTAGCTCTCCAGGGTCAATGCCAGACGAGTCGCTGTGCCAGAACGGTCAGGGCGCTCCCAAAGCAGCAGAAGGAGCTCAGTCACAGAACTGGCGCCGTGCAGGAACCGCTGCACCGAGGCAGCAGCCCCCTCCTGCTGCTGCACCCCCCTGGAGAAGGGCAAAAGGACGCACAGCCTGCTCCCTCCTTCCAGCAAGCGGTAGCTGAGTGGGCACCACTGCCGTGCTACGGCCCCGGCACATCCCAAGAGGCACCTGCCATGTCCCGCGCCGTGTTGGAGAGAACACGCGTCCCTGCTTGTCACCCTTTATCCCTGGCAGGAGGGAGCCGGGGCTCCGGCACTTGTGGAGCTCTTCTCTTTGCAAGGAGCCACCTGGGTGTTCTGGGGCTGCAGAGCTGCCCCGGTGTGAGCACGCTGTTGGCTGCTGGGGGGGGAGATGTTCTGTTGGTAAACTGGGTCTCCAGTATCAGTCTGGCTTTGCGTTCCCCATCTGCTGCGTGGCTGCCTTCCGTGACCCGCTGTTTTAATTCCTCCTGGCTCAAAACTAGCCTCAAAGGAGAGCCGTGGGTCGAAGTTTGGTTGGGATGTTCATCTCCGTTGTGGAGATGTCACCGAGTAACAGCAATGTGGCAAATTCTCCCTAGCCGCAGCCTTTGTTCTGCAAAGGATACAGGCAGAATCTGCACCTCTGGAGAGAGACGGCTGGGGGTTGTGACATTCCTGTGCCCGTGGGCTCAGAGAGGGGGTTCCCAGCCCGGCACGGCTGTGTCCGGCAGCAGCCTTGGGCATGCTGACCGTGGAACCCTCCCGTTCCCAGTGTTGCAGGGGGCAGATGCCGATGAGCAGCGTCGGCTGCCCAGCCCCGTCCCACAACAGGCAGCAAAGGGACAGGCGCTGGCACGGGACTGGCTTCCCACACACCTCGGGATTAACAACGCCTCTCCATCTTCATGTTCTGGTCCTGGGGGAGTAGGAGCTTCCTAGTTTGATGCATGAGCCTTGAGCTGCCATTCCGTGGCAGCTGCAGTGATCCAGTGTAGGAACACGAACACAGAGCCGGAGGCCTCCGGGATCCTCCTGCGGGGTGTCCGTGCCTGATGCTCGGTGTCACAGGTGCACGTGGATCCCGCTGAGCCGACAGCTCGCTCGTCTCAGTGCCAGGAGGGGGTTGGCGGAGGAGGAGGTGGGTGTTTTCCCCCTCCATGGGAAGAGGAAGAACAGGGGTCCCTGCCTCGTGCTGCCTCGAACGCCCTGTCCTGTCTCGCAGGCGGAACACGAGCTGAGGCTCACACAGACGGAGTTTGATCGCCAGGCAGAGGTGACGCGTCTGCTGCTGGAGGGGATCAGCAGCACACACGTGAGTCTTCCGAGGTAACTGGGGGGGACGGGGACCACGGACACTCCCGGCTCCTTGCTAAATGAATGCCAAGAGGACAATGGAGCCCTGCACTGGGAGCGGAGGTAGAAGAGGTTTAAGTTTGGAGGCTACAGCAAGCTCCTCATAAAACCTGGAATGTTCCAACTAAAAACATAACAAAGCACGTGCAGGTGGTGCTGCTGTGCCACCTCCAGTTCTGCAGTCCTCTCCTCCCGAGCCAGAAACCCCTTGTTCTTCCCTCAGCAGAGCTGTGGACTAGCCAAAGGGCATGGCCAAAGTGCCAGCATCAGCCTCCTCTCCGAGATCACCCTTGGGCCTATGCAACATTCCCAAACTTAACAAAGTAGCGTATTCCAGCCGACCAAGTGACTCTTAAATACCAGCCTGCACAATCCGCTTCCCGTGGGGGCAGGTAGGGGCTGCAGGAGGGCTCCTGCGCCCGGCACCCAAACCCACAGACCAGCTTAAAGTCCTTCTCCCTCCAGGTGAATCATCTTCGCTGTCTCCACGAGTTTGTGGAGTCCCAGACCAACTACTACTCTCAGTGCTACCAGTACATGCTGGACCTGCAGAAGCAGCTGGGCAGGTGAGTGCTTTTACATCTCTCGGGGTTACTCAAGGCCAGCCCTTGCTCGGGCCCCCTTCCCCCCTCCCATGTCGGGTAGAAGCTGCGAAGCCCCCTCCAAGCTCCGACAGAGCCGCGGAGCCGACGGGACGGTGACCCAGCCCCGCGGCCGTGGGTTTACGGTGGGCTTCGCCACCGGATTCATCTGGGGTTTTATACCTTCGTTTCCCAGCACGACGGCCACGAGGGTTCAAACATTCTTCCTCTAGTTAAATCGCACGGGGGACGCGTTCCTGCGGGCAAGGAGCGAGGCTGCGGGGGGCTGAGCTGCAGCAGTACCTGACCCTGCGCTGCTGCTTCCCGTCCCGTGGGCGCGGGCAGGGCCGCTCACCCCTCGCAACGGCGCGGCGGCCTCACCCAGGAGGGGCCGTTGTCTCCATTGTCTCCGCGTGATCGCTCACTACTCCTGTTCCATTCTTTTCCATGCTTGCAGCTCCAAAGGAGAAATGTAAGTAAGCTGTCGCACAGGGCTGGCTCCAAGAGCTCTCCGCCTCAGCCAGACGCTGGGCGGGCGTGCTAGGAAGGGCAGCAAGGGCCAGAGCCGCGCGCCCTTAGCGCAGAGGGGGTTACCTCCAGATAAACGAGACCCAGCTCCGTTACCGCCTCCGAGATCCCAGAAAGCCTGGGAGCCACCAGCTGTGGCATCCCGCTTAGCAGTGACAGCGCCTGACCCCTTCCCGAAGAATTAGGAAGGACTAGATAGGACAAGGGGTAATGGGTACAAATTGAAAACAGGGAGGTTTAGATTAGATATCAGGAAGAAATTCTTCCCGGAGAGGGTGGGGAGGCACTGGGACAGGTTGCCCAGAGAAGCTGTGGATGCCCCATCCCTGGATGTCTTCAAGGCCAGGCTGGATGAGGCTTGGAGCAACCTGGTCTAGTGGAAGGTGTCCCTGCCCATGGCAGGGGGGTTGGAACTGGATGGTCTTTAAGGTCCCTTCCAACCCCAACCATTCGATGATTCTATGATTAAGGTGTCACCCAGGCCGTGCGAGAGCAGGGCACGGCGCAGCGGACGGGGTGGAGCAGCTGCGGAGCCAGGAACAGCATCTGCCCGACCCCTGGCTGGCACCGCTCCGGTCCATACACGGCCACGGAGGTGCTGGCCCGGTACGGGGACGCGGGGATCGAAACAAGCAGACAAGTGTTACCTGTTCCGTGGTCTCCGCGCCCCAGAGCTGTGAGCGTTTCCCCCCTCTAAGTGCAGCGTAGATACGCTCCGGCTGTTAGCCGGAATGCTTGAGCATCCTCTCTGCCGTGTAACCGCTGAAGGACGGAGCTCGCTCTCGGCTCCTCACGCTGCAGCCTCGCTGAACTCTGCTTTTTTTCCCTTTCTCCTGCCTAAGATTTTCAGGCACGTTCGTAGGCAACGCGGAGTCCACCTCTCCTCCCCCAGCTGCTACCTCTCCTCCGGCTGTTGCTGCTGCCACGCTCCCCGCCGTGCCTACCATTCCAGTTGTGCCCACCATCGGCGGGGTGCCCAATACCGTGGCGGAGAGCGTCCTGAACCCCAACGAAGTCAAGCCCCCGGCCAGCGGGACGCGGAAGGCCAGAGTCCTCTACGATTACGAAGCAGCCGACAGCACTGAGCTGGCGCTCCTTGCGGATGAGGTCGGTCGCTTTCCCTTGCTCTGGGTTTTGCTGTAGCTGCCTCACAGCCCACCACGAGGGTCTTGGTGACTTTTCCTGCCCCTGAAAACCCCAGTTTATGGAACTGCTGATAGTCTTTTCCTTGGTGCCCGTATCCACTGAGCTGCTGTGAGCTTGTGCTCACAGCCATTTGAGACTATCACAGAGTCACAGACGGGTTTGGGTGGGAAGGGACCTTAAAGATCATCCAATTCCACCCCCCTGCCATGGGCAGGGACACCTTCCACTAGACCAGGTTGCTCCAAGCCTCATCCAGCCTGGCCTTGGACACTTCCAGGGATGGGGCATCCACAGCTGCTCTGGGCAACCTGTCCCAGAGCCTCACCACCCTCTGCAGGAAGAATTCCTTCCTGATGTCCCATCTCCATCTCCCTCTTTCAGTTTAAACACCTCACCCCTTGTCCTGTCACTCCCTGCCCTTGGAAAAATTCCCCCCCCAGGCACTGGAAGGTGCTGTATCACCCCAATAACTCGTGTATTCCTGTTGGAGCCCAGCTGGCTGAGACAACACCCCAGCACCCTCACTGACCCTCAAACGTAGCTGCCTTCTCCAACAGCAACGGGATAAGCTGGAGGCCTGGTCTGTTCACGCTGAGTAAAAAGGGAATTCAGCAGATTGCAAGCTCCTGTTGACGAGACTGAACTTTTGTATTCAGAAGGGCAACATCAAGCCCCCCTGGATGCAAAAATACCTAAAGTCAATTTGGAGAATGGAAAGGCGACAGGGACGGCGCTGGGCAGATTTCTGTGGATCTGTTAAAGCTGTGGATAGCTCCAGGGAAAGGGCACAGGCGGCTGCTAAATGAGCTTCCGGAGCGACTGTCCTTTCAGCGCCCATCAGGCTGAAGGTCTTGGCTCCGCGTGCCGAGTCGGATCCTGCCTAACGCTGTCTTCTCTCCCCAGATGATCACTGTGTACAGCCTGCCCGGCATGGATCCAGACTGGCTCATAGGGGAAAGAGGGAACCAGAAAGGGAAAGTTCCTGTCACTTACTTGGAACTGTTAAGTTAAACGTCTGCAGGAAGAAGAACGTACGAGCAGAACGCACCCCTCATCTCCTGGCACTTCTACTGCGGGTTCCTTCATCCGCGCCCATCGCTCTCTTCGGGGTTGACACTCCATTGCTAACACGGGAATTGTGGGAAAGAGGTGGTAGAACCGTTACGGTGAGGTTTTGGGAAAGGGCTGATGGCATCCAAGACTGAATTCGTTAACATCCCGCGCAGCCTGCTTTGAGGTTAGTCTTGATGGCACAGGATTCCTCGATTTCTGGTTTTGGGTTTGTTTTTTTTCCACCCCACCCTAGTCTTGTTGACCGCCGTGGCTTCCCCGGGGCCGGCGAGCTGTCTCCCCCCGCGGCCGCTCACGGAGTCTGAGTTACGCTTCCCTCGTGTCTGGTGTGGGTTAGTGCCCGTCTGCCCCTCCCCCCCTCTGTTCTTCAGCAGCAGCATTGAGTCCAACCACCAAGCATTCCAGTGGGGAAGTGTCCCCCCACAAACCCTCTGACACCCTCTTTTAAGGCAAGGAAGCTGAATTTAGGAGTTAAGAGCCTGTTAAACCCGCGGACCCGTGGGAGAAGGGCGGTGCAAGGCTGAGCTGTGCTTACCGGCTCCGATCTGGAACTGGCCTGACGCTGGAAGGGCCGTGGTTTGCGAAGACCAACCTCGCACCCTCGGGCCCGCGTGTCAGAAATCAAACCTCGGCGCAAGGGACCACGCATCTTGCTTGCATTTCCTCTGAGAAACTGCTCTTGGACTGCAAAGAGTTTACAAGCCTTTTTACAAGCTTCGCTCCCCCGTGTCAATTGTCCGGGCTTTTCCCTCGGCGCGTCTCTTCCAGGCATGTTTGAGCCTGACGTTATTTTCACCCCGAGATCACCGATGTCACTACGCTTCCCCTGCCATCCCGGCGGCGAACAGCCTGCGTGCATCCTGGTGCAGTGAGGGATGGTCCCGCTCCGTTATCTCCGGCGGCGAGCTGCTCCTGGCCGTGCGCGCGCTGCGCTCCGGGCTGCCCTCGCGTAGGGGGTGGTTTAGCTCCACGGGAGCTCTCCTTTCAATCCTGTCACGAGCTTCGTAGCCAGAGCTTGCCTACAGGGCTTCCGCCGCGGCGTGACTAGTTTTTCCACTCGAGCTGGATGGAAGAGCAGCTCCCCTGCACCAAGCTCTCTGTTCGCTACCTTCCCCTTGGTATGTCGGAACTCACTTTGCTTGTTTATTGATCTTTTTGCACTCTCCCCGACGGTATCGTGACCACTCTAATGTAACAGGGCACCGAGCCCCTCTGTATGTAGGGCTCATGGTTTTCAGCACTTAATTTGCCAATAAACAAACTGCCTGAGCTCCGGCCTCGTCTGTGGGTTCGGGGCCGCGGGACGTAGGGATGAGTGGCGCCGGCCGGGAGGCAGCTCGGGGGGGAGCTGTGTCCTTCCACTGTCCCAGTCTTGGGAAAGCAGAACCAAGCTGCCGATCCCTCCAGCTGAAACTCTCGGCAGTTCCCAAATGACACGCGGCGGTTGTACTACGGATTTGAGAGCTCCAGCAACAGCTCCTCCTTAACCTGGAGGGAAAGTGGAGCAGCAGTACGCCTCGAGCAGACTGGAAATGCTGTTCCAGCACGGTGTTGTTATGGAAACTAGATCTGCTAGTCTG